ATCGGGAATAACATCCTGGATCCTTTGGGATCACTGATGGATCGGGAATAATGTCCTGGATCCTTTGGGAACACTGATGGATCGGGAATAACGGGGGGGGGAGGGGGGGGAACCGATGACACTGATGACACCAATGGCACCAAGTGTCACACGTGGCAGTGTCCCCAGTGTCCCCAGCAGTGTTCCCAGCAGTGTCTCTGGCAGTGTTCCCAGTGTCCCCAGTGTCCCCAGCAGTGTCCCCAGCAGTGTCCCTGGCAGTGTTCCCAGTGTCCCCAGTGTCCCCAGCAGTGTCCCCAGCAGCTCCAGCCGCTGTGCTCAGGGGACCCCTGCTGGTGGCACTGCCCTGTCACAGCCAGCCCGGCTCGGTGACAACGCCCGTGCCCGGCACCCAGTGCCACCCCTGGGGACACCTGGGGCACCACTGGGGACACCTGGGACACCCCTGGGGACACCCCTGGGGACACCCAAGGGCCGGGATGGGGACAGGTCCAGGTGCCACCCCCGGGGCGATGTCCCCATGTCCCCAAAATCCTGGGAAAGGCGGCAGAAAGGATGGGATGGGGATGGGAGCAGCCTTGGGAGCGAGGAACGGGAATTCAATCCATGGAAAACATTCCTGGAGCTGGGGGTGTCCCGAAAATCAGGATCTGGGATAAAAGCAGAGCCCCAAACTCATTCCCTGTTTTCCCTCAGGACAATCCCGCACCCTCGGCCTGGGAAATGGGAATTCCCGGATTTGTGAGAATTAGGCCGGAACAGGCTCCGCCACTCATGGAATGTTGGGATTGGATCCCTGGGATCTTCCATCCCCAAAACCCCGGGATCAGCAGGGAGCGGGACAGATGGGTTTTATCCCATTAATTATTCCCGGTTTTTTCTCTGCTCAGGATGGATTGGAAAAAGCGGGATGGGAAGAACTGGTGGAGGAAGCTGGGAAATTACAGCAGGGCTGGAATTTTATCCTGGAATGGCTTTATTGAGGGGAGGCATTAAAAAAACTGGGATTTTAATCCCTTGTTACATTGGAAAACCTGATCCCAATCCCGATCCCAATCCCAATCCCAATCCCGATCCCAGTCCCAGTCCCAATCCCGATCCCAATCTTGATCCTAAGGAATTCCCTGCTCCAGGTACTGATGGGGGATCCCAGAGGGGATCCCACCCTTGGGATCATCTCCCCACCTTTGAGGGGGGCTCGGGAACAGGATCTGCCGGCACGGATCCCAAATCCCATCCCGGATTGGATTTTGGGATCGAGCCGGATGGGACTGAAGAGGAGAACATCATTCCCAGGAAACCCCAAAGGGGAGGTCCCAGCAGATCCAGGCGGGATTTCCGGACCTTGCAGAGCACTGGAAGCTCGGTCCAGCGATAAAATTGGGATCGGGCAAGAAGAGGAAAGCCCAAGCAGGAATCTGGGAATTCCAGGATGAAGTGGGATGGTTCCAGGGGGCGTCAGCACGGAGGCGGCTCCGGTGTCACCGTCACCACCGTGGTGTCCTCGTCGCTGTCATCCGAGCTGCAGATGATGATGATGCTCTCGCCCTCTGCAAGGAAAATCCCAAAATCCCGGATCCCACCGGATCAGCGCTCCCGAGTTTTGCACCAGGAACCAAACAGAGCTTGGGGGCAACCCCAGGAATGGTGGTGACTCCATGGATCCTGAATTCCATGGATCCTTCACTCCATGGATCCCTCATCCCATGGATCCATCATCCCATGGATCCCTCATCCCATGGATCCCTCACTCCATGGATCCCTCATCCCATGGATCCCTCATCCCATGGATCCCTCACTCCATGGATCTCTCACCCCATGATCCCTCACTCCATGGATCCCTCATCCCAGGGATCCCTCACTCCATGATCCCTCATCCCATGGATCCCTCATCCCATGGATCCCTCACTCCATGGATCCCTCATCCCATGGATCCCTCACTCCATGGATCCCTCACTCCATGGATCTCTCACTCCATGGAGCCCCCACCCCATGATCCCTCATCCCATGGATCTCTCATCCCATGGATCCCTCACTCCATGGAGCCCCCACCCCATGATCCCTCATCCCATGGATCCCTCACTCCATGGATCCCTCATCCCATGGATCCCTCACTCCATGGATCCCTCACTCCATGGATCTCTCACTCCATGGAGCCCCCACCCCATGATCCCTCATCCCATGGATCTCTCATCCCATGGATCCCTCACTCCATGGAGCCCCCACCCCATGATCCCTCATCCCATGGATCCCTCACTCCATGGATCCCCCACCCCATGGATCCCCCACCCCACAGATCACTCGCATCCCCATCCTTGGCCAAAGTTCCCATGCAATGGGGGCTCAGGAAGGCCGGGAGCGATCCCATGGATCCCGGGAAAAATGGGATGACAAGTCCGGTGCCGTTCCCGGTCCCCACCTGGGTCACCAGCCCTGACGTGGTTGTGCCACGACGTGGAGGGGCCGGGCTCCGTCCGGAATTCCCAGCAGGATTTGGGATGGCTGGGGCCCGGCTCTTGGTCACATTCCAGCTTCAGGATTTTGGGAGACATCTGGCTGCCCCTCTCCATGCAGAGAGCCGGCCGCTTGTTCCAGGGGTGTGGGAGAGGCTGGAAAAGTGGGATTGGTGGGATTGGGAATTCCCTCCGGATCCCACCCGGATGGGACGGGCCTCACCTCCTCCAGGTGGATCTCCTCGAGGCTGGGGGAGACGCTCTGGGTTTTGGGATGAATCGGATCCTCTTCCTGCAGGAAGAGTGCGGAGTTAGGGTGGACTCGGATCCCAGCGGAGGGGCGGGAACAGCCTCAGGAATGGGGAAACTGAGGCACGGAAGATTTGGGCTGGATCTGGGCGCTGCTCCCTCGGTCAGTGCCGCGGTCATGGAATTCCCCGTGAAAAACGGGGAATCCGTCCCTATGGAGCAGCGGGATGGGGCAGGACTGTGCCTGGTGGGATGTGGGAATTCACGGGAATTGAGGAAAAACCAGGAATACCGGGATGGGAAAAGGGAAAGGAGAGGTCCAGGTTTGGGATGGGGCCCCGACGTCTCACCGGGTCGTTCTCCAGGGCCTCCTGGAGCTCGGGGATGTCCGTGGCTGGGATGGAGAAAACCGGGATGAGATCCCAAGCCAGAGCCTGCGGAGCCGGGAAAATCCCGCCCGACGGCTCCAGTCCCCTTCCCTCTGGATTGGGATGGCCCAGGGGGTTTGGGAGGATCCAGGAAGCTGGGCGGGAACATTCCCAGAGTCCGTGGGATCGGGGGGACACCCTAAAGGGGCTCCGGGAAAACAACGGAGCAAATCCCAGGTCCGGGGGGACGCGGAGGAATGGAGGAGGAGGAGGAAGAGGAGGAGGAGGAGGAGGAG